ATCTTCTCACTTCTACTGCAGCTTGAGCTCCTCTGAAACATCTCCTTTTTCTTTCACATTTCTTCCTAATTCATTTTTTGGAGATAAAACCTAAAGCAGGTTCTAATCGAGGTTCTGAAACTTGAGCTTTAATCATTTGATGGACCAGCCTAAATGTGTGCATGTGTTATTATTATTATTATTATTGTGATTATCATCATCAGGGGGGTGTGAACGGCCTGATGAAGCTCCAGCTGAAGATGCAGCAGGAGATGTTGTCCATGAGGGACGACAGAGACAGACAGAAGCAGCAGAGGCAGGAGGAGCTCAGGGCCCTGGAGGAGGAGCTGGAACAGGCCGTGTCCAACGTGCAGGTAACACCCAGTCCGACCTGAGCCACGACCCAAGTCCGACCCGAGCACGACCCGAACACGACCCGAGCACGACCCGAGCACGACCCGAGCACGACCCGAGCACGACCCGAGCACGACCCGAACACGACCCGAGTCCGACCCGAGTCCGACCCGAGCACGACCTGAGCCACGACCCGAGTCCGACCCGAGCACGACCCGAGCACGACCCGAGCACGACCCGAGCCCGACCCGAGTCCGACCGAGCACGACCCGAACACGACCCGAGCACGACCCGAGCACGACCCGAGCACGACCCGAGTCCGACCCGAGCACGACCTGAGCCGAGCCCGACCCAACATACACACACACACAGATCGCGCTGCAGTCCGCACACACACACACACACACAGATCCCGGTGCAGTCCGCACACACACACACACACACACAGATCCCGGTGCAGTCCGCACACACACACACACACAGATCCCGCTACAGTCCGCACACACACAGATTTAAAGTCTCCTCAGATTGTCCTCGTGTGGTTTGTGTTTTGTGTTGCACATTTCAAAATCGTTTAAGTCTGAATAATCCTGACGTGTGCGACGCCTTAAACTGTTTTAGAATTTTACATTTCAAAAGTTTTATCTGATGTGTCCGAGTCCAAACGAGCGCGTCACACTTTGGTCGGTTTCCACGCTCGTGTGTGTGTAAGTGTGTGTGTCGTGTGTCTGTGTGTGTGTGTATTTCATGTGTGTGTTTGTGTTGCAGGTGACACAGAAGGAGTGTGTGTGTGTGTTTCACGTGTGTGTGTTGTGTGTTGCAGGTGACAGAAGGAGCATGTGTGTGTATGTCTCATGTGTGTGTTGTGTGTCGTGTGTGTTTCATGTGTGTGTTGTGTGTCGTGTGTGTTTCACGTGTGTGTGTTGTGTGGTGTGTGTGTTTCACGTGTGTGTGTTGTGTGTCATGTGTGTATGTCTCGTGTGTGTTGTGTGTCGTGTGTATGTCTCGTGTGTGTGTTGTGTATCATGTGTGTATGTCTCGTGTTTGTGTTGTGTGTCATGTGTGTGTTTCATGTGTGTGTTGTGTGTCTTGTGTGTGTTTCGTGTGTGTTGTGTGTCGTGTGTGTTTCATGTGTGTGTTGTGTGTCATGTGTGTGTGTCATGTGTGTGTTTCGTGTGTGTGTTGTGTCATGTGTGTGTTTCATGTGTGTGTGTTGTGTGTCGTGTGTGTTTCACATGTGTGTGTTGTGTGTCGTGTGTGTTTCACGTGTGTGTGTTGTGTGGTGTGTGTGTGTTTCACATGTGTGTGTTGTGTGTCATGTGTGTATGTCTCGTGTGTGTGTTGTGTATCATGTGTGTATGTCTCGTGTTTGTGTTGTGTGTCATGTGTGTGTTTCGTGTGTGTGTTGTGTGTCGTGTGTGTTTCATGTGTGTGTTGTGTGTCGTGTGTGTTTCACGTGTGTGTGTTGTGTGGTGTGTGTGTGTTTCACATGTGTGTGTTGTGCGTTGTGCGTTGCAGGTGACACAGAAGGAACTGTCTCTGTTCCAACACAAACTGGAGGAGGAGGTGAAGAAGGATCAGAAGGACAAGAAGGAACATCAGGAACGTCTGCGAGGACTGAAGCAGGAGGTGGAGGTTCTGCAGCAAGAGCAGCACAGGTCAGACTGACACCACCTGCACCACCAGGAACAACACCAACACCACCACCTGCACCACCTGCACCACCAGGAACAACAACAACACCACCACCACCACCTGCACCACCAGGAACAACAGCACCACCAACAACACCACCAACACGTCTTTAGGCACCTGAGTGAGCTCTGATTTTCTCGCTCTGATTTTTACACTTTTGTTTTTCAGACTGAAGAGGAGCATCAGGGAGAAGAACTCTGCCCACAAGTCCAGACTCCAGGACTTCCTTCAGCTCAGGTACGTCCTGCTCCACCACCGGATGGAACTGGCTAAGGAAATAGTCATAGAAGTCCATGTTGTCCTCCCCCTGTAGTAACCAGGCCGCTGCGGAGAAGATGAGTCTGGAGGAGGAGCTCCAACGCTGCAAAGAACAGGAGAGCAGAGCCTCCAGGAGGTCCCTCACCGCTCAGGTACAACCACACAACTACAGGACCACAGAACCACACACAACCACACAACCACACCCACACACAACCACACAACACAACCAACCACACAACCAAACAACCAACCACACAGACACAGAGAACAGGAGAGCATAGCCTCCAGGAGGTCCCTCACTGCTCGGGTACAACTACACAACACAACAACACAACACAGTTCAATGTAATGTGGTGTATTGTGGGTACTGTGGTCCTGGTGTATTGTGGGTACTGTGGTCGTAATGTATTGTGGGTGATGTGGTCCTGGTGTATTGTGGGTACTGTGGTCCTGGTGTATTGTGGTGTATTGTGGGTACTGTGGTCCTGGTTTATTGTGGGTACTGTGGTCCTGGTGTATTGTGGTGTATTGTGGGTACTGTGGTCCTGGTGTATTGTGGGTAATGTGATCCTGGTGTATTGTGGGTACTGTGGTCCTGGTGTATTGTGGGTACTGTGGTCCTGGTGTATTGTGGTGTATTGTGGGTATTGTGGTGTATTGTGGGTACTGTGGTGTATTGTGGGTACTGTGGTCCTGGTGTATTGTGGGTACTGTGGTCCTGGTGTATTGTGGTGTATTGTGGTCCTGGTGTATTGTGGGTACTGTGGTCCTGGTGTATTGTGGGTACTGTGGTCCTGGTGTATTGTGGGTAATGTGGTCCTGGTGTATTGTGGTGTATTGTGGGTACTGTGGTCCTGGTGTATTGTGGGTAATGTGATCCTGGTGTATTGTGGTGTATTGTGGGTACTGTGGTCCTGGTGTATTGTGGTGTATTGTGGGTACTGTGGTCCTGGTGTATTGTGGTGTATTGTGGGTACTGTGGTCCTGGTGTATTGTGGTGTATTGTGGGTACTGTGGTCCTGGTGTATTGTGGGTAATGTGATCCTGGTGTATTGTGGTGTATTGTGGGTATTGTGGTCCTGGTGTATTGTGGTGTGTGGGTACTGTGGTCCTGGTGTATTGTGGGTAATGTGGTCCTGGTGTTGCAGGTGAAGGTGCTGCAGACTCAACAGGAGCAGGTCCTGTACCCGCTGCGCCGGGAGCTGGCAGAAAGTCAGGGCCTGATTTGGCGTCTGGGCGAAGTGGCCCACAGGTCAGAGTCTCCTCTTCCTCCTCCTCCTCACGTCTCCTCTTCCTCATGTCTCCTCTTCCTCTTCCTCCTCACGTCTCCTCTTCCTCGTGTCTCTTCTTCCTCGTGTCTCCTCTTCTTCCTCGTGTCTCCTCTTCCTCACGTCTCCTCTTCCTCACGTCTCCTCGTCCTCACGTCTCCTCTTCCTCACGTCTCCTCGTCCTCACGTCTCCTCGTCCTACGTCTCCTCGTCCTCACGTCTCCTCGTCCTCGTGTGTGCAGGTTCTCTCCTCAGGACCTGGAGGCCACACTGAACCGTCTGAGAGCCGGAGTCCAGGAGATCGAAAAGAAGATCTCGTCCACAGAGGTGTGAACATGAACACACACGGGTCAGGGGTCAGGGTCAGGGGTCAGGGGTCAGGGTCAGGGGTCAGGGTCAGGGTCAGGGTCAGGTGTTGTGTGTTATATTGTGTGTTGTGTGTTCAGGAGCACTACACCAGGCTGGTGGAGGAGTTGAGGAGCGGAGCTGAACTGAGCGACCTGCAGCCAGAGAACAACACACTGAACCCAGACACACAGTCTGTGCAGGTAACACACACACTATACACACTATACACTCTATACACACACACACACACACACACTATACACACTATACACACTTTACACACACACACACACACACACACTATACACACTATACACACACTATACATACACACACACACTAAACACACACACACACACTATACACACTATACACACACGGAGCCCCTCCCCCTCTGATTATGTGACTGGTGCACATGTGCAGGTCCCTGAGGCGTCGTCTCTGTCGCCTCCACAACCTCCTGCGGTGACCAGCGCCTCCCCGAGCAAGAAGAAGAAGCCCAAGAAAGCCCAGGAGACGCCCACCGCCCCCGCCGCGCCAACCGCACCCACCGCGCCAACCACCGCGCCAACCACCGCGCCAACCATGCCCACCACCGCGCCCAACGCACCACCCAACGCACCACCCACGGCAACCACAGCAACCACGGCAACCGCCCCCACCACAGTGTTTGAACGTGCCCTGGAGAGACTGGGGGCCATCTTCCCCGACACCAACAGGTAAATGTACCAACGCACACAACAAGTGTGACGAGTGTGACTGTGTACGAGTGTGACTGTGCACGTGTGTGACTGTGTGCACGAGTGTGACTGTGTGCACGAGTGTGACTGTGTGTACGAGTGTGACTGTGCACTAGTGTGACTGTTGTGGTGAGATGCAAGTTGTGTGTCAGTGTTGTGTGTGTTTGTGTGTCAGTGTTGTGTGTGTTTGTGTGTCAGGATTGTGTGTTTGTGTGTCAGGGTTGTGTGTGTCAGGGTTGTTTGTGTCAGGGTTGTATTTTTATGTGTCAGGGTGTTGTGTGTCATGGTGTCGTGTGTGTTTGTGTGTCAGGGTGTTGTGTGTCATGGTGTCGTGTGTGTTGTGTGTCATGGTGTCGTTTGTGTGTCATGGTGTCATATGTGTTTGTGTGTCAGGGTGTCGTGTGTGTTTGTGTGTCAGTGTCGTGTGTGTTTGTGTGTCAGGGTGTTGTGTGTTATGGCGTTGTGTGTGTTTGTGTGTCAGTGTCGTGTGTGTTTGTGTGTCAGGGTGTTGTGTGTGTTTATGTGTCAGGGTGTTGTGTGTCATGGTGTTGTGTGTGTGTGTGTGTCAGGGTGTTGTGTGTCAGTGTCGTGTGTGTTTGTGTGTCAGGGTGTTGTGTGTCATGGTGTCGTGTGTGTTTGTGTGTCAGGGTGTTGTGTGTCATGGTGTCGTGTGTGTTTGTGTGTCAGGGCCGAGCTCAGCGCACACATCCAGAGGTTCCGTTCGTCCAGTGGTTCCTTCCACAGTCTGAGTCTGATGGACGTGATCCAAGGAGTCACACAAATCCTCCTGGACCAACAAGAGGTACTCACAATACACATACACAACACACACTCACAATACACACACACACACACAACACACAATACACACACAACACACACTCACAATATACACACACACACAAACACAATACACACACACACACAACACACACTTACAATACACACACACACACAACACACACTTACAATACACACACACACCTATACACACACAGACACACACCTATACACACACACAGACACAGACACACACTCTCCTGGTAGTTTCAGTCTGTGGTCGATGTTTTCGGGCAGATCAATGAAAATATTTTGATTCATTTGTATTTTTGTGTTTTGGACGTTTTATGAAGTGAAATTATAACATCAGACTCACTAATGTGTGTGTGTGTGTCTGTGTGTGTGTGTCTCTGTGCATGTGTCTGTGTGTGTGTGTGTGTGTGTGTGTATGTGTGTGTGTGTATGTGTGTGTGTGTGTGTATGTGTGTGTGTGTGTATATGTGTATGTGTGTGTGTACTGGTGTGTGTGTGTTTCAGGTGAGGACTCGTTCCAGAGTGACTCCTCCTTTAGGAAACGTCGCCTCCGTGTGGCAGACTGTGGATCCTCCACGCAGCGCACACGTCCACGCAGTGAGTCACACTCAGGCCCCGTTCACACACTCCGGCCCCGTTCACACGCTCCGCTATTTTTAAAATCAGACACATTTCCCGTCGTTTGTTCTCGTCTTTTACACACAAACTCTGAATTCTCCACTGAAAATGAATCTTTGTAAAAACTCGAGCTCAAGTGAAGATTCTGTAAAACTCCGCTCACTAATGCACCAGTTTAATCAGATCTGTGGAGAGGCGAGCCGCTCACTAATGCACCAGTTTAATCAGATCTGTGAGTAAAACTTCAAACTGCAATGAAATCAAAGCTCCAGGTTTGGGTTTGACGTCGGCGTCGCCCAGAGACTCTGTGTCGTTCTGACCGAACTCGATGGAGGATTTACGAGGCTCCGTGTAAACAAAAACTTTTTTAAAAACGATGCTGCACCAGGTGATTTTGGAAAATGAAGGGAAATATTTGTTTTATTTGTTTCTCAACACAACGAGACGCAGAACATGAGAGTCCAGACACGACTCAGTCAGAAATGTTATTTAGTTTGACTCTCTGGACATTTGTGTCTCAGGTTTTGTCTCTGGACTTTTGTCTGTTGTTTTTCAGTTAAACTCTGAGGATCCGTGCATCATCTGCCACGACGAGATGAGTGAGGAGGACATGTGTGTGCTGGAGTGTCGACACAGCTTCCACCGAGAGGTACGCAGCCCCGCCCCCTCTGCCCACACAGACAAAAAAGGGCAGTTTTTCCTGTTTTTCTTTTGGTTCTCGAACCTTGGCACCTGCCGTTTCTCACGTTGCTCCTGTCGGTTTAGTGCATCCGCTCGTGGCTGAAGGAGCAGAGCACCTGTCCCACCTGTCGAGATCACACCCTGCTGCCTGAGGACTTCCCTGCCCTGTCGACCAAGAGACACATCTGAGACGCCCCGCACCTGCCCGCACCTGCCCTGTCCGAATCACAACTTTTGTGGAATCAATGAAACTCTTTGTTCATTCTTTATTTTTAAGTTTCATGATTTTACATTTTACACTATTAAAAAAACATTTAAACACTTCAAGGTTTTTTTTTCATCTCCACTGGAAAGGTCTGAAGGTCCTCCTGAAGGTCCTCCTGAAGGTCCTCCTGAAGGTCCTCCTGAAGGTCCTCCTGAAGGTCCTCCTGAAGGTCCTCCTGGTCTTTACAAAGCCAAAGAGCTGGTGATTTGAGCGGTGACAAACGTGGACAGTCAGACGTTTGTGGAACTTAAACCTTCTTCCTTCTGTTGGTGTCACAGCGTTGAGGTTTGTTTTCCTCCGTCTCAGACCTTCTGGAATGTTCTGAGGAGCAGAGCCGGGCTCAGACTCTGCACAGCTTCAGGGGGAAGTTCTCCGTGATGAGGTGGTCGTCCTGAAGCACGATCACGATGTTCACTTCAAACTCTGAGGGAAGAAACGGAACAGAAATATTTAAAGGAGCTGGAAAGGAGCTCGGAGTCGAATCTGCACGGAGCTGCTTTTCTCTGAGTTTAATGTTTTCTGTGAACTTCTGTTTTAAAGAAATAAAAACATAATAAAACTGAACGTGTCCTGAGTCCAGAATATCAACAAAGTTTTAAAAGGTACTTCAGACCGAGACACGTCCAGGTTCTTCTCGGTCTCTGCCTAAAGATCACGACCTCCGTTCACCCAGAGAGTTAAATCCTACTTTGTCAAATTTTGATAAAAGTCAAAGTTTCAATTTTTGATTTTTTGTGTGGTCGCCGAATTACAGATTATTTCAAACTATTGTCCAACATCAAAAACCAAGGTGTGTCTGGAAAAAGAGGAAATCAATTAATCCAAATCTGACATTTATTTAAATTTTATATGAAATTGTGATATTTTAGCAACAGTTTGTCCAATCAGGAGAAAATGTGAGATTTTGTCTTTGGCTTTTGACTTACACCAGTTTTCTTTACAAATGAACAATGTGACGGATCAAACTGTATTTTTTTTTATTTTTGGGTGAACTGAAGTAAAATGACCCTGGACCAAAAAAGAAACGTCGTCGTTACAGAAACATTCACTTTGTGCAAAAAACGGTTTGTGGAAAGGAATTTTCTGTGTCGATGATAAAGGCAGATGATTATTATTATTTTTTTTAGAAACACTTCCTGTTTTTATCTCCACCACAAACTATAAAACTGATAAATACTGAACACGTAAAACCAAACCCAAAATCGAATCACTTCAGACGGATCCAGATTTTCACACAGACTCAGGTCGTTTCTCCACGAGTTTTGTGGAGTTTTGTTCAAGTCGCTGTCGTCAACTGAACAGAAACGACCAAAATATAATTTACACAAAAATAATCATGAATAATTTTAGAAATAAACTCACACAAAAGAAAACAGTCACACACAAAACAACACAAACCAAACACAAACGTTTGGTTTAATTTTCTGCTGTTTTAGTGTAGTTGTGCGTTCGCCGGTGCGTTTCGTGAGGTTTCGGGCTCGGAGACTCACCCACTTTGAAGTTGGGCGTCTCGAGGGTGGGGCAGGTGAAGAGTCGGGGAAACACCATGTAGATGGGGATGGGCAGACCGTGGCACACGTCGCCCTCCGCGATCTGGATGTTCTGGATCTCGGTGGCGTCTCTGGCGTAGCCCTCGGCGCAGCCTGGACACACGGGCCGGTCAGGGCACCAAAGACAAAAGTACATGGTTACCATGGTTACCATGGTAACCATGGTAACCACGGTGACCACGGTAACCACGGTAACCAAGTACAGGGACGATGACTAACGGATTGACGAGACTCTGGGCCCAAAATAAACTCAAACTCATCAACTCAAACTCACGATGCGACGATCAGAACGTCTCTACGTCCAATACACACATTTACTCACAGAAAGAGAATTCAGCCTTTACACACGTCCAAGTACACATGTCCACACACACACAAATGATATAAAGAGTATATATGATATTGAGCAGAAATATGATATCATATTTTGAATAAAGTGTGTGTATATGTATATGTGTGTGTTGTGTGTAGGTGCTGTGTGTATAGGTGTGTGTTGTGTGTATAGGTGTGTGTGTTGTGTGTATAAGTGTGTGTGTTGTGTGTATAGGTGTGTGTGTGTGTGACTGACCACACGTCTCCACTCGCACCAGTTGTAGTTCGTGTGTGTGTATAGGTGTGTGTGTGTAGGTGTGTGTGTGTGTGTGTATATGTGTTGTGTGTAGGGGTGTGTGTATAGGTGTGTGTGTGTAGGTGTGTGTGTATGTGTGTGTATATGTGTTGTGTGTAGGGGTGTGTGTATAGGTGTGTGTGTGTAGGTGTGTGTCTGTGTGTAGGGGTGTGTGTCTAGGTGTGTGTGTGTGTGTCTAGGGGTGTGTGTATAGGTGTGTGTGTTGTGTGTATAGGTGTGTGTGTTGTGTGTATAGGTTTGTGTGTATAGGTCTGTGTGTTGTGTGTATAGGTGTGTGTTGTGTGTATAGGTGTGTGTTGTGTTTATAGGTGTGTGTTGTGTTTATAGGTGTGTGTAGGGGTGTGTGTATAGGTGTGTGTGTGTAGGGGTGTGTGTGTTGTGTGTATAGGTGTGTGTGTTGTGTGTATAGGTGTGTGTTGTGTTTATAGGTGTGTGTAGGGGTGTGTGTATAGGTGTGTGTGTGTAGGGGTGTGTGTGTTGTGTGTGTATAGGTGTGTGTGTGTTTATAGGTGTGTGTGTATAGGTGTGTGTGTATATAGGTGTGTGTGTGTAGGGTGTGTGTGTAGGGGTGTGCGTGTAGGGGTGTGTGTGTGTAGGGTGTGTGTGTGTGGTGTGTGTATAGGTGTGTGTGTGTAGGGGTGTGTGTATAGGTGTGTGTGTGTGTAGGGGTGTGTGTGTAGGTGTGTGTGTAGGGTGTGTGTGTATAGTGTGTGTGTTGTGTTTATAGGTGTGTGTAGGGGTGTGTGTGTGTGTGTATAGGTGTGTGTGTGTGTGTGTATAGGTGTGTGTGGGGTATAGGTGTGTGTGTGTGTATAGGTGTGTGTAGGTGTGTAGGGGTGTGTGTATAGGTGTGTGTGTGTAGTGTGTGTGTGGTGTGTGTTGTGTATAGGTGTGTGTAGGTGTGTGTGTGTGTGTGTATAGGTGTGTGTAGGTGGTGTGTGTGTATAGGGTGTGTGTGTGTATAGGTGTGTGTGTGTGTAGGGTGTGTGTGTGTTGTGTGTATAGGTGTGTGTAGGGGTGTGTGTATAGGGGTGTGTGTATAGGTGTGTGTGTGTAGGGGTGTGTGTGTGTTGTGTGTATAGGTGTGTGTTGTGTTTATAGGTGTGTGTAGGGGGGTGTGTGTTGTGTGTATAGGGGTGTGTGTACAGGTGTGTGTGTGTAGGGTGTGTGTGTGGGTGTGTGTGTGTGTGTGGTGTGTGTTGTGTAGGTGTGTGTGTGTGTGTTGGTGTGTGTGTGTGTTGGTGTGTATAGGTGTGTGTTGTGTGTATAGGTGTGTGTGTGTATAGGTGTGTGTGTGTGTGTGTGTGTGTGTAGGTGTGTGTAGTGTGTGTATAGGTGTGTGTGTGTATAGGGGTGTGTGTATAGTGTGTGTGTGTAGGGGTGTGTGTGTGTGTGTGTATAGGTGTGTGTGGTGTTTATAGGTGTGTGTAGGGGGTGTGTGTTGTGTGTATAGGTGTGTGTGTATAGGTGTGTGTAGGGGTGTGTGTATAGGTGTGTGTGTGTAGGGGTGTGTGTGTTGTGTGACTGACCACACGTCTCCACTCGCACCAGTTGGAGTTCGATGCTCTTTACGGGGACGTCGGACTGTTCCACCACCACCTCCCCCCGCAGAGGCTCACTGACCACACAACAGGACGCGTCCAGACGCCCGCGGACACAGAACTGAGGAAGACACGCCCTCTGACGGGGACGGGGACAGAGACACACAGGGACAGGGACACACAGGGACAGGGACAGAGACAGAGACACACAGGGACAGGGACACACAGGGACAGGGACAGAGACACACAGGGACAGGACAGAGACACACAGGGACAGAGACAGAGACACACAGGGACAGAGACAGACAGGGACAGGGACACACAGGACAGACAGAGACACACAGGGACAGAGACAGAGACACACAGGGACAGGGACAGGACACACAGGGACAGAGACAGGGACACACAGGGACAGACAGAGACACACAGGGACAGGGACAGAGACACACAGGGACACACAGGGACAGAGACAGAGACACACAGGGACACACAGGACAGAGACACACAGGGACAGAGACAGAGACACACAGGGACAGGGACAGGGACACACAGGGACAGGGACAGAGACACACAGGGACAGGGACAGAGACAGAGACACACAGAGACAGAGACACACAGGGACAGACAGGGACACACAGGGACAGACAGGGACACACAGGGACAGACAGGGACACACAGGGACAGGGACAGACAGGGACAGTGAGCTGGTTTTAAGTGAATAAAACTCTGAGTTTTTGAGTTTTTTTTGTACCTCTCGGTTGTTGTGCAGAGTCTCGGGGCTGATGCTGAACGAGACGGGGGACGGAGACACTTTGGCCTTCTGAGGCTGCAGGGACAGACAGGGACAAGACAGGGACAAGACAGGGACAGGGACAAGACAGGGACAAGACAGGGACAGGGACAGGGACAAGACAGGGACAAGACAGGGACAAGACAGGGACAAGACAGGACAAGACAGGGACAAGACAGGACAAGACAGGGACAGATTAGGAACAGTCGATACTCGATCACAATAATAAATCCTCTTTGTTCTTTGTTCAGACGATTTCCCGATTTTCCACTTTTAATGATACAATTTTATTTTCTGTTTCCATTTGTCCAGATCCCTGAGAACCCAACTTCAGACCTGGTTTAGACCTGGTTTAGTCCTGGTTTAGTCCTGGATTAGTCCTGGTTTAGTCCTGGATTAGTCCTGGTTTAGTCCTGGTTTAGACCTGGTTTAGATCTGGTTTAGTCCTGGTTTAGACCTGGTTTAGACCTGGTTTAGTCCTGGTTTAGACCTGGTTTAGTTTGTTTAGTCCTGGTTTAGACCTGTTTAGTCCTGGTTTTAGTGGTTTAGTCCTGGTTTAGTCCTGGTTTAGTCCTGGTTTAGTCCTGGTTTAGACCTGGTTTAGACCTGGTTTAGTCCTGGTTTAGTCCTGGTTTAGACCTGGTTTAGTCCTGGTTTAGTCCTGGTTTAGACCTGGTTTAGTCCTGGTTTAGTCTGGTTTAGTCTGGTTTAGACCTGGTTTAGACCTGGTTTAGTCCTGGTTTAGACCTGGTTTTAGTCCTGGTTTAGACCTGGTTTAGTCCTGGTTAGTCCTGGTTTAGACCTGGTTTAGTCCTGGTTTAGTCCTGGTTTAGACCTGGTTTAGTCCTGGTTTAGACCTGGTTTCCTGGTTTAGACCTGGTTTAGACCTGGTTTCCTGGTTTAGTCCTGGTTTAGACCTGGTTTAGTCCTGGTTTAGACCTGGTTTAGTCCTTTTAGTCCTGGTTTAGTCCTGGTTTAGACCTGGTTTAGTCCTGGTTTAGTCCTGGTTTAGTCCTGGTTTAGACCTGGTTTAGTCCTGGTTTAGACCTGGTTTAGACCTGGTTTAGTCCTGGTTTAGACCTGGTTTAGTCCTGGTTTAGACCTGGTTTAGACCTGGTTTAGACCTGGTTTAGACCTGGTTTAGTCCTGGTTTAGACCTGGGTTTAGTCCTGGTTTAGACCTGGTTTAGTCCTGGTTTAGACCTGGTTTAGACCTGGTTTAGTCCTGGTTTAGACCTGGTTTAGTCCTGGTTTAGTCCTGGTTTAGACCTGGTTTAGTCCTGGTTTAGTCCTGGTTTTAGACCTGGTTTAGACCTGGTTTAGTCCTGGTTTAGACCTGGTTTAGTCCTGGTTTAGACCTGGTTTAGACCTGGTTTAGACCTGGTTTTAGACCTGGTTTAGTCCTGGTTTAGACCTGGTTTAGACCTGGTTTAGTCCTGGTTTAGACCTGGTTAGTCCTGGTTTAGACCTGGTTTAGACCTGGTTTAGTCCTGGTTTAGTCCTGGTTTAGTCCTGGTTTAGACCTGGTTTAGTCCTGGTTTAGACCTGGTTTAGACCTGGTTAGTCCTGGTTTAGTTTTAGACCTGGTTTAGACCTGGTTTAGTCCTGGTTTAGACCTGGTTTAGACCTGGTTTAGTCCTGGTTTAGACCTGGTTTAGTCCTGGTTTAGACCTGGTTTAGTCTCTGCTCTTACACTTGTTCTGGCTCAGGTCCAGATTGTTCTAAAGGTTCCGTCAGTGGGACTTTTTTTATTTGATTGATATTTATGAAAAATGAGGATCTGGTTTTGATATTTGGGACTCACCCGACCCGGAGCGACTCACCCGACCCGGAGCGACTCACCCGACCCGGAGCGACTCACCCGACCCGGAGCGACTCACCCGACCCGGAGCGACTCACCTGTCCGTGCACGATGAACTCGCAGGTGCGGCTCAGGTCTTTGGCCAGCAGGGGGCGCTTGACGTCGCAGCGCAGCGTGTACTGAGGACAAACGGTTTACAAAACATTTTACACTTTTATTTGAACGACCAGCTCACATTTACAAACTCAAACATCACAAACACCACCATTGTTTTCAGATTAAAGCTGCACTGTGTCACTTTCCGGATGGAACGTTCCGTGGAAACAACGGGTCAAGTTACAGCTCAGATCTACGGAGACGAACGCTTCATATTTAAGAGATTCAGCCTTAAGAAAAACTTCAACAGTGTGAATCATCAGATACGACACAGATCCAGAGTCTGAGGATCAGACGCCACATTTAAAACCATCGATCAGATCTAAAAACTCATCGATAAAAGTTTGGACGAAGAACCTGACGAAGACGCCGCGGTACCTGAATGTCGACGAAGACGCCGCGGTACCTGAATGTCGACGAAGACGCCGCGGTACCTGAATGTCGACGAAGACGCCGCGGTACCTGAATGTCGACGAAGACGCCGCGGTACCTGAATGTCGACGAAGACGCCGCGGTACCTGAATGTCGACGAGACGCCGCGTACCTGAATGTCGACGACGAATGTCGACGCCGCGGTACCTGAATGTCGACGAAGACGCCGCGGTACCTGAATGTCGACGAAGACGCCGCGGTACCTGAATGTCGACGAAGACGCCGCGGTACCTGAATGTTGACGAAGACGCCGTGGTACCTGAATGTTGACGAAGACGCCGCGGTACCTGAATGTTGACGAAGACGCCGTGGTAGGTCTCGTACAGGACTTTGTTGCCTTTGGCCTCCAGCGGAAACTCAAACGGGACCTCGGTCTGTCCTGCAGGAACCTTCCCCGAGCGAGAGACCTCGATACTGCTGCTCAGGAGGGGGATGGGCTGACAGGGGCAGAGACAGGTGTAGACAGGAGCAGACAGGGGCAGAGACAGGTGTAGACAGGAGCAGACAGGGGCAGAGACACAGCAGTATTATGAGAGATGATAAACTATAATGTAGAAATCTGGGTCTCTAATATCTTCACCCTCTACTGCTTCATCTGGACCTCCTCCTCACACCTGGACCTCCTCCTCACACCTGGACCTCCTCCTCACACCTGGACCTCCTCCTCCTCCTCACACCTGGACCTCCTGGACCTCCTCCAAACACCTGGACCTCCTCCAAACACCTGGACCTCCTCCTCACACCTGGACCTCCTCCTCACACCTGGACCTCCTCCTGGACCTCCTCCTCACACCTGGACCTCCTCCTCACACCTGGACCTCCTCCAAACACCTGGACCTCCTCCTCCAAACACCTGGACCTCCTCCTCCTCCTCACACACCTGGACCTCCTCCACACCTGGACTCCTCCACCTGGACCTCCTCCTCTGACCTGGACCTCCTCCAACACACCTGGACCTCCTCCTCTGACCTGGACCTCCTCCTCACACCTGGACCTCCTCCAAACACCTGGACCTCCACCTCTGACCTGGACCTCCTCCTCACACCTGGACCTCCTCCTCTGACCTGGACCTCCTCCTCTGACCTGGACCTCCTCCTCACACCTGGACCTCCTCCAAACACCTGGACCTCCTCCTCACACCTGGACCTCCACCTCTGACCTGGACCTCCTCCTCTGACCTGGACCTCCTCCTCACACCTGGACCTCCTCCAAACACCTGGACCTCCACCTCTGACCTGGACCTCCTCCTCACACCTGGACCTCCTCCTCTGACCTGGACCTCCTCCTCACACCTGGACCTCCTCCAAACACCTGGACCTCCTCCTCTGACCTGGACCTCCTCCTCACACCTGGACCTCCTCCTCACACCTGGACCTCCTCCAAACACCTGGACCTCCTCCAAACACCTGGACCTCCTCCAAACACCTGGACCTCCTCCTCTGACCTGGATTTACCTTCACAGAGTTGTAGAAGGCCTCAAACACGCCCACGCTCTTGGAGCTGAGCTGCAGGTTCACCAGCCCCTCCAGAGTCAGCAGGATGCCGTGGTGAGGGAGGGGCTCTTTGGACTGAAGCACCACGACGCCGCTGAGAACCTCCTGCACGAAACAAAACAACTGTGAGCTACAGGAACCTGCTGAGAACCTCCTTTAAGGTTCTTGCTCGGTTCCTTTGAGCTTTAAGGTTCTGGACGCCTGGACACTGTCCCAGTCAAACTGTGTGTGGACTTTAAAAACCCAGTGGAGCACTTCCTGTATCACCGCATGACGTCACGAGTTTGTTCTCAGCCAAGAACGAGCAAATTTTCCAAATCAAAAACCGTTGTTCCCGGTTTGTGGAGGTTGATATTAAAACTGTAAATTGAGTCGTAAATAAAAAAACTGTTCTGTCCTCGACTCGACTCGGACTCAAGTCACATTTTCTTTGTGTTTTGTTGTTTTTAAACAGATTTACTGGATTTTACCAAAACAAATGAACAAATTATGTCTCATAACTCAAACAAGATCAGACTGGTCCAAAACTGTCACAGTCTTGGTTTAGTTCTAGTTTAGTCCTGGTTTAGACCTGGTTTAGTTCTGGTTTAGTCCGGGTTTAGTCCTGGTTTAGTCCTGGTTTAGTTTTTCAGGAGACACAGTTTTGTGTCCGAGTCTCGGCGTTAAAATGGTGAAATTGGATTAAATCAAACATGAGAAAAACGGAGCAGGATCCCGGACTTTCTCGGGTCTTTGTCGGGTCTGTATCGGGTCTTTGTCGGGTCTGTATCGGGTCTTTGTATCGGGTCTTTGTCGGGTCTGTATCGGGTCTTTGTCGGGTCTGTATCGGGTCTGTATCGGGTCTTTGTCGGGTCTGTATCGGGTCTTTGTCGGGTCTGTATCGGGTCTTTGTCGGGTCTGTATCGGGTCTTTGGGTCTGTATCGGGTCTTTGTCGGGTCTGTATCGGGTCTTTGTCGGGTCTGTATCGGGTCTTTGTCGGGTCTGTATCGGGACATAAACTCACCCCTTCGTGATAAACTTTGTTGGCTCTCTTGAGCCTGATGTCCACGGACACCGCCATCACGACCCATGGAGTCACGTGACCACAACAACACGTGACCGATCATATGCGCAGCGGAAGTGCTTCAAAATAAAAGACTTTGTTTTTTTTCAACCAAAAACTGTTTGTATAATTATAATATTAGAATTATAATATAATATAATATATAATAATGATGTAACCAGAGGAAAATGGGTACATATTTACATAATGGTGCAGTACAATGACACATATATATGTGTTTTTTATATATATATATATATATATATATATATATATATATATATACACACACACACACATATGTACATATGTATGTTTATATACTGTAAATGTTGCGCCCTCTACAGTCTGGGGGGGGTGTGTGCTGTTGCTTTTTGTGGAAAATGAAGGACAGCTTTTTATTTTAAGACTTTTATTTGAAAAAGAAGAATGAAGATTTGTTCAGGTGCAGAACAAAAGATCCACCAGCCCAGAGACACTTGTAAATATGTAAATTGTAAAATTTTTAGTATTTATACTTTTCGTACCATTTGAACTGAATATTAACAGAATAAGATGAATTAATTGTGTTTTTAACAATTATTTATTTACTTTTTTAATCTTTGACACAGTTTTTTAATCTGTCACATAGAGAGTCTGTGGTTAGTAACATATTATTATTATTATTATTATTATTATTTACCATATGGTGACAGGAGCAGTGACAGGAGCAGTGACAGGAGCAGTGACAGGAGCAGTGACAGGAGCAGTGACAGGCAGTGACAGGAGCAGGCAGGTGTGGTGGGGGCAGGTTCTGGGAGCTTCAGGTGAACGTGCTCAGGTTTTGTTTGGAGGAAACACACAGAGCTGTTTCCACAACACAAACGTGTTTCTCCTGCAGACGCCTCCAGACGCCCGGCACCTGACGCACCTGACGCACCTGATGCACCTGACGCACCTGACGCACCTGACGCACCTGACGCACCTGACGCACACGAACAAAAGTCCCAAACACTGCAAAAGAAGTTTGGCCAAAATGTAAGATATAAACACCTGGATGGATCTA